TCTCTCTCTCTCTCTCCTCCCCCCCCCCCCCCCCCCCGGGCCTCCCCTCTCCTCCAGGGCTGAGGTGGGAGCTGCTGCAGCCTGATAAGGCCTGCAGGTAGGAGGCAGCCCTGGCTACACCACAGTTACTGGACTTTTGGTGTTCGCTCAGTACATTTGACTGGACACTGCCACATCCCCTTTTTGACCATACTTTCTGGCTGAAAATTGGGCACCTGCCACCAGGAAAACAAGCCAAAAACTGGACTGCAGGGTAAAACGCCGATGGGTGGCAACCCCAAAGAGTAGGGACCCCTGTTTATCAGAGAAAAATGGGGTTGGTCAGAGGGGAAGTCAAACTCCTCTCCCACTACAGCCTCCTTGCACATAGTGTTTGAGGGAAGTTTGGGGGAGGAGATTAGTCAGAATAGCTACTGAATGTGGTGACTAACATTGTCTGCATCTTCAATTCCCATTGGACAGTGGGAGCAGCTGGAAATAGAAATTACCCCACTAAAGGAACCAATGGTAGCACAGCAATTTAGCAAGCCATTCTGCTAGTATCTGGTTTGAGATTGCATCTGGGAGACTCTTAGGGGAGTGGATATTTAGTATAGGTTAGGTGAAGTTCTTTGGAGTTTGCCCTGGGATTTCCTTATAGTGAATTTTCAGCTTCAAGAAACGAAGAGCGTTTAAAATGTAAATCCCCTCCTTTGCCCTGTCTCCCTTTTCTTTTTGGTGCTTATCTTGTGTGTAAAGAAGCCAATGAAGTGCTTCCAGGTTTTCTGCAGAGTTCCTTTCACTGCAGTGGGGAAGCATGTAATGAAAAATGAAAGAATCCCACTAAGGAGTTTCAGTTGAGCATGTATTAATCTGTTAAGAAGAGCACTCGCTTGTGAGTGTTTGAGTTACTGCTCGGTAATGGAAAGCTATTTGAACTGTTTCTTAAATTTACCCATGATCAGATTTGCTCATGATATCAAATGGGTGCTAATCACAGTAAGCCAAAAAATAAATTGTAAAGTGACCTGTGGTGATTAAAATGGTGAGGACTGCAGACAATAAAAGGGATTTAGTAGTAATAAATGTAAAATCCAGCAATAAGTGGGAGAGGAAGGGGGACAGCAAATGAGGTAGAGATAGAACTTGACAAATAAACTCACTTTAATACAAAAATATTTATTTTCATCTTGCCTCCTTCTTCCTGTCCAAATATTACTTTTTTTCATGTTACCAAGCACTATAGTTCATAGTCTTAGTGTTTAACATCATCTAGTCTGATCTCCTGTATATCGCAGGCTACCACCTCCCCCCAGCATCCGCAAATTAACCCAACAACTGAAATTAGACCAAAGTATTACAACCCAGAGGAGACTAGACTATTATGTGCCACAGGCAGCGACTAGAAGGGACTGAGGTGCACCAATACCTGAGGCCCTTGCAATGGCAGGTCAGTGTTTTAAGTGAGATATTGCCCAGCAAGTGACCTGCACCCACATGCTTCAGAGGACAGTGAAAAAACCCCAAGTTTCCTGCCAGTCTGATCTGGGGGACACTTCCTGACCTCACATATAGTGATCAGTTAGATCTTGAATGTGTGAGCAAGAACTAGCAACCCAAGCGCCAGAGATAGAATGCTCAGGGTACATCTACACTACAGGGGGGAGTCGATTTAAGATACGCAAATTCAGCTACGTGAATAGCGTAGCTGAATTCGACGTATCGCAGCCGACTTACCCCGCTGTGAGGACGGCGGCAAAATCGACTTCTGCGGCTTTCTGTCGGTGGCGCTTACTCCCACCTCCGCTGGTGGAGTAAGAGCGCCGATTCGGGGATTGATTGTCGCGTCCCGATGGGACGCGATAAATCGATCCCCGAGAGGTCGATTTCTACCCGCCGATTCAGGCGGGTAGTGTAGACCTAGCCTCAGTGTTACCTCAGAGCCTTGGCTCTCCCTATCCAATATCCCCTCTCCATCCGTGGCCATCCCTGATGCAGAGGGAGGAGATTTCCCCCCCCCTCTCGCCCCCTTTCTGTGTGTGTGTGTGTGCACACAGGTGTAAGTAAATCAGCATTGGGATGGATGGGATGTGTAATCAGCGTTCGGAGGGGAGGTGCCCATAAGAGGATCTCTTCCTAAAGAAATGACCCTCATTATTAAAACACTTAAGAAATATTTATTTCACAGCAAGTAATATTATCTAGTCTTGCATAGTTAGTTATTCATTTGAAATTAATCAGTTTTGTATTAAGCAAATTGAAAAAACTAATTGGTTTTCACTTGCATTTAACTTGTATATTTCTCTGAAAACCTGCTGTTATTCTTTATGCTATTCCAGTAACATCTTCTGTAGGGTTTGAAGGGATATTACAATGTAACTTAGATGCCAGTTGCAGTCAATATTCAAAAATTTATTTCCCAGCTAGAGCTAAAAGGCCTAACACGAAATATACTTTATTCAAATGAAAGTTGCATAATCTGGTTTCTGTCTTCTAATATGGTATTTCACTACTGTAATATTCTCATGGAACATGAATGTATGAATAAAGAGTTTTGTCAATTACATTTTAGGGGTTTGCTTCCCTCAGTAAGACTGATAAATGAGAAAATTGTTCTGCTTTCTGTGGCTGACATCCCTCTTCTAAATTTAGAACATGATGCCACCAGATGACTTCAGATGTCCTGATTCTTCAAAGCAGATCTGGACTGTGAACGAAGTATTTATTCAGAAATTGCTGACTTGTCCATCTGGAAGGCTTCCTGTGGAGATAGCTGAGTAAGAACAAATTAAATTGTTGAGAAAAATATCTTTGAAAACTAAACTAAATTATAATACATACACACAGTTATGAAAGTTTTTCACAAAGAATGTTTTAATTATTGTCTTTGCTGTACACATCAGAGCTTTATTCTTGACTATGCTGCTTTTAATGCAATGTGGACTCAAGGTAGGGATTATGAGCTATTAGTGGGGTAAGGTGTGCGTAGGGACTCGGGTAGGAGAAAAGGAGCTTCTATGGGTTGTCTAGATTGGGAAAAGTGGTTGAGGTTAGGTAACCTTGACCTTTTCCCTTGTTTACATCAGGGTCCTCAAACTTCATTGCACCGCGACCCCTTCTGACAACAAAAATTACTACACGACCCCAGGAGTGGGGACCAAAGCCTGAGCCCGCCCGAGCGCCACCGCCGGGGTGGGGGTGGGGCAAAGCCGGAGTCCCACTGCCCTAGGCAGGGGGAAAAAAAGAACTCCAAGGGCTTCAGCCCCAGGCAGGGGGCCTGCAACCTGAGCCCCACCATCCGAGGCTGAAGCCCTTAGGCTTCAGCTTCGGCCCCAGGTGGAGTGGCTCATACTTCAGCCCCAGGCCCCAACAAGTCTAAACTACCCACTTTGGGGTCCTGACCCTCAGTTTGAGAACTGCTGGGTTTAGATCCATGTTAACTCCTTTTAACTCAGTACAGCTGGTCGAGATCTACTGGTTGAGTGATCACTTTTAATCACTTTTTATACAGACCTTTAAAGAACAGTAAAGTATAGGGAATTTGACATCAGGACAGATGACTTGAGTGGGAGTATTGACAGAACATTGGTCATCAAAGTAATGGCCTCAGGAACATAGGTGGAGAACAGGTCAGGCTTTAGAGGGAGAGTGAACTGAGAATCTCAAAGGGAAGGAATAGAAGGGTGAAGGCCATGTGCCACCAGCTACCTCCATATATAATGTGAAACTATGTGTTTGTAAGTGTTTTGTGAATTTCAATTTTGCTGCCATTCATAACTAATAAATGAGTTGGGACAAAAGAAATTCATCTATAAATGCAGCTCCTGGTGGGACAAAGCAAGTGAGAAACCTGCCCCTTTGGCAGTTCTAAAGAGTCAGACCTCTCAGCTAGAATACAGATTTTTTTTTTTTTAAGATGAGCTTCCCTGGGTTTCAGGATATTTCCCTGTTCCCTGGTAGGCCAGGTTGACCGTGGTTATTTCTGAGTGTAGATGGCCCTTCCTTACTGGACTGAAATTCCTGTAGTTGCAGTGTAAAATAAAGAGAGATCCAAGCAACTGAAATATTATTATTTCCTCAAGCTTATTAATGCAGAGTTCTGTAGATTTATTAGATATGTGCAGTATATTCTGTAGCTATTCGTTGCATGAGTTTCTCAGTTTTAACATTTTTTTTTTTTAGTGAATACTAGCTATTCATTGATGTTCAGTGACTTTTTTAGCGCTCTGAACAAATTCATACTTTGTAAATTAGCAAAAATGTTCATATTCACAAACTTCACATCTAACGGTATGCATCTAGGAATAGGTTGTGAATGAATTTTCTCTTCACGCATTCACTTTGCTAGTCTGAAAGGTTTTTATATAATATGTAATAAAATAATAGGCGACTTGTAAGAGGGGATCTTGTACCACTAATTAATGTGTGTTTTGGTTGTGCATAAAGCCAGGGCCCATTATCAGTTTTCATAGATCAGATGTCTAATAGCACTGGTAAAAAGATATTTATTAGCATTTAAAGTCCACGAAAGAAGCTACCTAAAAAGCACTATATAAAAGTGATTGCCTGAATCAGTTCAAGTGTCAGAATATTTTCCTGTAGAAAAGTACCAACTTTATACAAGTTTATTTTTCTTTGAGAAACATTCAGAACTTGGGGTCTGCTGTTTCAGTTCCTATACACAAAGCTGTCCAATGAAAATTGTTTTGTTTTGACTATCTCAAGTTAGCATTTTGTCTTATCCAATTTCATTCACTGATATTGCAGATAGGCATGATTAGATATTATGTGAAGTGTCATTAGGGTATAAATAACAATTTATAGTAAATACAAACTTCCATTTGATATGTAAATCTAATTTTTCTTATACATATGTTTTTTAGTGAAATAGATGGAACATTTTCTTCAGCTGGCTGCCTAAATGGGAGTTTTTTAGCTGTCAGGTGAGTGGGTAATCTTGTAAATTTCAGATTTCAAGATAGTTTATTGAAGCAGAAATAAAAATGTCTGGGGCAGAGAGGGTGAGGTGTGGAGAAGAAGTGAATGCAAAATTCTTACAGCCTTTTTTTTTTTCCCCTTCAGCAATGATGATCACTATAGAACTAGTGCTCGATTCTCGGGGGTTGATATGAACGCTGCTAGACTACTATTTCACAAACTTATAAGTCCTGACCATCCTCGTATATCACAACAGGTTTGGCCTGCAAATCTTCCTTAGATGTAGTTATACGGATTCATAAATTCTGTAGTGTTACACCTTGGTCTGGTTCTTTAGTATAAAAATGTAATATCTATAAACCAGTTCTAAGTTAATGAGGAGTTTGTAAAAACATTTTGTAGTGGCAGCAGTAAACAACACAGTACATTTTCTGTGTCTAAATATCTGATTTTAATTCCATACTTTTTCTATTTTAATGCTGTAATATGTACATAGATAATAGAACATTATAATGTGTATAATAATCTAGGTCTGTTTTTTCTAAATTAATATGGTTTGTGTTAAGCATTGTATATTTTCTGCACTCTAACCTTCAGCTTTCCACAAAGCACACTTTGAAGTGTTTAACTATGAAGCTTTTGCTATGGAATAGTTACTCTGTTTTTATCTAAGGTAAACATTGGTACATGAAGCAAATAGCTTCACTATTGTGCTTACGCACATCCATGCAGTAAAACTATTTTCAAATTATTGTACTGCACTGCACACCTGCTCATGTCATATTAGGATCAAGCCCTTTCGTTAACTTTGTGTTTATATTTTCAGATGTTTGCTTATTCATTTTTTGTTTTAAAATAAACTGAGTTTACGTCTATGCAATGTTGTAGGTTGCAGCTAGTTTGGAGAAGAACCTTATTCCAAAATTGACTACTTCCTTACCTGATGTTGAAGCCCTAAGGCTGTATCTCACTCTACCAGAATGCCCACTGATGAGTGATGTGAACAATTTTACAACATTAGCTATTCCTTTTGGAACAGCTGTTGTAAATCTAGAAAAAGCTCCACTGAAAGTACTTGGTAAGAATTTTTTTTTTAAATCCTCTGTGTTGAAATTCTCTCTAGCTGAAAATTGGTAGTATGTGGAAATTGCAGAAATGAATTCATAGGATCTGCAAAAATTTCTCTATATATAATTCTGTAGAATCCCTCAAAGAAAAAGTTAGGAATCTAGTTCTTTCTCTTCTACTCAGTCACCAAGAGGTATGTTCCTAACTAGGTAGGAAAGTGTATATCTTCCTTAATATCTGCGTGAGCTACTTGCCAATCCATAAAATGGATCAGTTATCACTGTCTTCAGTCTGATTCCTTTTGAGAGTGAGAATCTCTGTAGTTCATGGATTTCTTTTAAAGGATTTAGAGGGTTTTCGTGTTTCCTTTTAGACTGATTAATTAGTGTTTACATTTTCTATGTCCTCTTCATACTCACGATTATCAGTAAAATTTAAATCTGCATAATCAGGTGTGTTTTCACTCATCTTCACTCTTCAAAGAATGTGTGTATGTGTGTGTGTGTGGGGGGGGGGAGGCAGTTTGTTTTTCCAAGAAATCATATGCCTTCCCTCTCTTGTAGATAGTTGCTGTCGTGCTGGAAGAGTCATAGCTCACCTCTCTTGCCAAACAGCATCCCGTAGTCAGTTTCCAGGATTGCTAAAGAACAGACAGAAATCTTTGATTTACTTTGACAAAGCATTTTACCGTTTTCTTCAATAGGTCTCACCAGTGCTGCATAGAGGGATATTGCTTCCTTATTCTGAGCCAGGATATCTGTTCATGTACAGCCTAAAACCACTCTAGCTTTCTTACCCTGTTCCATTATAATTTCATATCCTGTTAGCTGTCTTTATTGCCTCAAGATCCTTTTCCTTTTAGACAGTACAGCTTTCACTATGTCTTCCCATAGCTGTTTGACATGTTTTTCCCCACAGATTTTCTGGCTTTAATTTATATTTGAATTATATCATATTTTATTTCCTCTGTTTATAACAAAACTGATTCCGTTAGAGTGTATTGTAATTAGGTAACTGTTTTATTGTGCAGAGTTAATTTATAATGAAGGAATGTTCAAATTTAAAGACTTAACTAAGTGTTGTGCTAGGAACAGCTTGTTACTTCAAAGGTTTGCTGCATGCCCATCATGTTACAACCATTTCCGTAGAAGGAGGCAGTACTTTAGGGATAGCTCTACAGCTCCTCTCCCCTGACATTTTTCTGTCTCCATACGCATCTGCATACTGACAAACATGCAGCTCTTTTGGAATCCCCTCTGTCTGCCTATTCAATATGCTTACCTTACTGCCTCTTTATCTCCTTTCAAAGCTGCCCCAGTGCAATAGATACTAGCATCCATATTTGCCACTAACTTCTATTTTTTTCCAAAATTCCTGGATTTAAAAAACCCCCCAGAACATTTCAGCATAATGTCCCTATTTTTAAGCCAAGTATCTGTAATTTCTTCTTTAAGTGATAGCACGTGTCCGTTCCACTGTAGATATGTGCATGTCTTGTAAACAGATGTCAGAGATTTTTTTCCCCACAGCAGTACCTGTTGGGGTGGCTTGAGCCCCCTCTGTCACCACATGCCACTGCATGCTGGTATAAGAGGGCGGAACCCCCTCGACTCCTCTCAGTTCCTTCTGACTGCCTGTGACGGTTGTTGGAGCGATCTTGGTTTGGTTAACTCAAGTGCCTTCCCTCTCTCGTAGATAGTTGCAGTTATTGTTAGTTCTTAGATTTTTGTTTTCTTAGATAAATTAATGTTATGTTTCAGGGGGTTTTTGGTGTCCTTTTGGACTGTTTGTCCTTTTTTTAGTACTGAGCTCAGTACTGGAAAGATGCCTTGCTCACCAGGGTGTAAGTCCTGTGGGACTTGTTTTTTGTTCAAAGCTGATGCTGGTTAGTGATTTCCCCATCTAACCTGGTTTAAGTGCATAGGTGAGACACGTTAGTGACAGGTGTCACATTTGCAAGGGCTTCAAATCCTGGTCAAAGAAGGACCAAAAGCAGCAAGGCGTAAGTGCTTGGTTATGAAAGCAGCACTGAGACTCCCCTTTGAAGGAGAGCACCCCAAATACTTCAGTGTCAGTACGGAGTGCTCCATCAAAAATATCTTAGGCTTCTCGATCACGATCACCGGTGCCAAAGAAGAGACGCAGATCTTCTTCAGGCTCAGTGTCTCGCCCATCAACCTTGGTACCAAGGCAAGACAGAGGCAAGAACTCTGCTGAGTGTGTGGCAGAGAGAGCTGCTAAAAGGGTTTTGTTGCCTCCTGAGCTGGTGCCAGGTCTGTCGGGGCTGTCCCTTGAGAGACAGTTGAGAAACTGAGAGGGATATGCAGCTGCAAGGGACTTGCTCAGCCTCTCAGTACTAGTTTCACCAGCTCCTTGCCCCCCAGCTGCGGCCCTGGGGCCGGAGGAGCTGTCATCTTTCTTTCCCTGCCCCCTCCCCCCCCCCCTGCTGTCCCCTGCCCCGCAGCTCTGGGGCTGGAGAAGCTGTCAGCCCCCACCATAACCAGCAAGGCTTGAGGTGGGATCCAGGGACCACGTTTGTTATTGCCCAAGGTGCACTATTGCGAAGGGCATTATAGCGGGGTCTACTGTACCAGCGTGTAGTGGTGTGTGTCAACAGAGCATGCTTAGGTCACCCCAATGGGTAATACTGAGGGGGGGAAATCTCCAACATCTGTGCAGGAGGCATGAGCCTACACACCTTGAAGAATAACAGCTACGGAAAGGTAGATAACCATTTCCAATTCTAAACAGTTTTCCTACACCAGTTCATTTCAGTAGAGATGAAAATTATGTTCCTATTTCTCCACCCTAATCTCTTTATAGCTTTCAATCTCTGGGAGGTATAATTTTTAGGAAGAAGGGCAGTATAACACTGAAAGATGTGATTATAAGTGTTACATGTATATGTTCACTCTTTATTGACAGAAAACTGGTGGTCTATACTTGAACCTCCATTGTTCCTCAAGATAGTGGAGCTGTACAAGGATGTTGTGGTCCACCTCCTGAAATTATACAAGATTGGTATCCCCAATTCTGAAAGAAGAATCTTTACCAGTTTTCTACACACTTCTCTCAAAGTTCTGGAAATTTTACATAGGGTATGTCCTGAGCTATTTTAAGCGGATTGTTGTTTCCAAATTGCTTATTTTGTTAACTGTTATGCAGTGTTAATTAAATCCCTTTTTATTTTGTAATCAGTGAAGGAATGAAAGTGCTCTGATTTAGAATTCTTCTGTGGATTGACACTATATAGTTTTCTTGTTAGCAATGCCTTCTGGATGTCTAAATCAGTGGAATACTAAATTTTAGTTTGGCAAGCATGTGGATGCTCTCATTGGGTAGGACAGTTATAAGTTTTCATGGAAACGCAAATTGAATGGAGTAATTATATTTGAGAGAATACAGTAAAATACATTAGAAGACTCAAACTTTCATTTACCATAATAAAATTGAGACTATAAATTGATGTGCAGTTATTTTAAGCCTGCAGCTTAAAAAAAAAAGACAGCATTGCTGAGAGAATTATGATTACTCCCTCCTATTCCCAGTTTATTTAAATGGAGTATTAGCATTGAAACTTAATCTTTAGTGACAGTGAAGTTCTGAATGTTGACAAAAATGGTTTTCATAATTTGGAACCTTTATTTTGTTCACATTGCATGCCTGTGTAATTGCATTGTCTTATTAGCTATCATAGTCTTTCTTTCCCCCTTTCTTTAGTTCACTACTCTGTCATTGCATTTTGTCTTTATATGCTCTTTGGGGCAAGGAGTGAGTGTGTGTGTGTGTGTGTGTGTGTGTGTGTGTGTGTGTGTGTGTGTGTGCGCGCGCAACATCTACCGTATTCAGGCCTCTATCTTGTTTGGGCCATTTGTGCACTATGTATATTTAATAACAATTAAAAAAAATAAAATCCTAGAATATCAGGGTTGGAAGGGACCTCAGGAGGTCATCTAGTCCAACCCCCTGCTCAAAGCAGGACCAGTCCCCAGACAGATTTTTGCCCCAGATCCCTAAATGGCCCCCTCAAACTGACAACCCTGGGTTTAGCAGGCCAATGCTCAAACCACTGAGCTATATCATGAAATATTATGGGGCGTCAGTGCATGAGATTTGATGTGGAGAGCCAGTTGAATCCTTAATTTCAAATATTATTAGCGGAGAGACCTACTTTTGAGGTGTGCCTGTACACTGCACCAAAGCCTGGAAACTTTCCAAAAAAGTTGAGACTCTTGGGGCAGTTTAGGCTTTGTCTCTAGCTGTGGGACATTCCAGGCGAAGTTATATATGGAAACAGGACTCTTACCCATCCTTGATTCTTTACAGCTGCCAAAGCAGCAAGTTTGAACTTCTCTGGTCTCTGGACTTTCAATTCATCTGCCTCTTTTTGGTTTTCATCTTCCTGTTTTAGGCTGCTTTTAGTTTAATAGTTAATTGAACAGTGATTAATGTTTTACATAAATCCTTAGGCAGATAAATGTTTTTCTTCCTTAGAAACTGTCCTCCTGACTCACCCAGTTGAGTTAATTTTCTGCGGTATTGACAGTACTTTGTAATAAGACTACATTTAAGGACCACCCTTCTTGTGGGGACAAGATGTCCATTACAGATCCCCCATAGGTAAAGCCTTTGTTGCTTGCTGAAGGTTATTTACCCAGCAGAAGTTCCATGTATGATGTTCACTGTCCAGGCCTGCAGGAGCTGTGAATCTTTGTTGAAGTCCATGATAGTACAATTCTTAAAGCTTTCAGAGTAAATGGAGAGTTAGAACTATCTCTAGGTCTTCTAAGTTCCGATCTTGGGGTGAATCTAAGTCCAGTTATAAGAGGGTCTGAGAAGCCAAAGGTAGCATTGGGCTCAGCACCAAAACATGTTTTCTCGGAATCAAGAGTGAGAAAAGGAGATTGCAAAGTCCCACTTTTTTCCCCTTGAGAGTAGCAGTTCCAGGAAAATTGGCACCAATTGGTGGAACTGTAAGATGCTGAAGTAGAGGTTCCTGCTCTTGGTGCTCCTAGTTCAGAGGGAAAAGTCTTTATTCCCAGTTCAGAAGGTTAAGTCTCCTCTCCTGGTACCAAGTAAAAGCTAATCTTCTCCAGTGAAGCTACCTTTCCTAGTTTGGTCTTTGTTCTCGAGGGAGGACATGGAGGACTATATTTACTCTTTCCCATTATAGGCTTCATAGTCTGTTCAGCTGAGTAGAAGCCCATCACCAAACACTCCCCATTTATGTCAGATCTGAGGGTTTCTGGAGTCTGCTTTGTTGCCATGTGAGATGGAGTTGAAGGCTTACTTTTGGGGTCCTTGGTTTCCTGCTTCTCAAATTAGACCTCCTTTCTGAGAGAGACGACCGCGTTGCTTAGTGGATAGAGTGCTGGACTTGGGGAAACCTGGGTTCTATTCTTGCCTTTCCCACTGGCCTGCTGGATGATATTGGGCAAGTCATATCACCTCTCTGTGCTTCAGTTTTCCCATCTGTAAAATTGTGAAGTGCTTTGAGATTTACTGGTGAAAAGTGTTATGTAAAAGCAAGGTGGTATTATTTGTTATGGAGTGAGGTAGCACAGGAGTGGAGATGACTTTCTAATGTTTTTCCATCATATGCACCTGAAAGGTCAACCTTGAAACCTGTTGAGGCATCTGTCTTTCCTGTTCCATGGTTGGTTAATGAATAATATATATAATGTCCATAAGGAAGATGAAATACATGGAAGATGTTATGAAAGACATCTGTGTCTCCACCAGAAGATTTTAAACTCTTCCAAGACCTTTTCTCCAGAGTAGCAGGGTTTTGAGCTTCCACTACTCATGGAAATTGGTTTGACATGCTGGCACAGTCAGCCAGTGACTGTGCAAATTTATAACTTCCTGGCATAATTGATTGGGACTTTATTATTGACACCATACTCCTAAATTCTTGGAAGGCAGACCTATTGTACCAGGCTTCCCCTCAATAATTTGACCCCCCACACACACTTAAACTGATCATCTTATGTTTGGGAAAGCAGTTCTGCAGTCATTGTTGAATTACTCTTGTCAAACTCACTTCTTTAGAGAGAGCTCAATGCTTGTCAATCTCCCAATGACAGCAACAATATTCAAAGAAGAAAAATAAGTTGCTTACCTGTAATTGGATTTCTTTGAGTAAATGGTCAGTGCACAGTACAGGGCTTACTCTCCATTGCCACCACGCCTCCTTTTATAACATTACCTAAAATATTCTGTAGCTTCAAGTGGAAGTCTTCACAGCCCCCAGTAGCCAAAGTTTTGCAGAGGGTGGGGGGTATGTTTGGAGAGTGTGTGTTCTTATAAACTACTAAAACTTCAATTAAGGTGAATAAACATTTTTTTTCTTTTGCTGCCTTCATAAACCCTTGGATCTGATCAGATCTCCATCTTCCCTTCTCAGATGTTCAGTGACCTTTTAATCAGCACAGTGTTGCATCCCTTATGAGAACCATTGTACTCTGAGACTCCCAGAGTACATCTAGTTTTGGAGATCTTTACATCTTCAGTTCATGTTTTTTGATGTTATATTACTGTTCTCTGTGAAAGAAGTGCAATGGTAGTTTTTACTGCTGCACTGCCCCTTGTTGCTTCACAGGAAATTCCAGATTTCATAGAGCAGACTCTGTGCAGGGCATTAATTGGAATGGCAGACTAATGTTCAAAAAGACAGCCTGATTGAAATCTTTACAGCTGTGCTGTCTGTTTTGATTTCCATAATAGGAATATTACGAACACATGCCCTTAGTGGTTGCTTTAGATCTCTTCTAAAGTTATCTGCCTGTCCTTCTACTAATGACAGGTTTCAGAGTAGCAGCCGTGTTAGTCTGTATCCGCAAAAAGAAGAACAGGAGTACTTGTGGCACCTTAGAGACTAACAAATTTATTAGAGCATAAGCTTTCGTGGACTACAGCCCACTTCTTCGGATGCATAGTCCATTCTATATGCATCC